TCTCACATCCTATAGAATTTATATTCCAGTATAAAGAGTCCTTAATCCTAAGTGTCACTGCCAGTGTTGTAGATGAGGAGGTGAGGAGAGGTGAGTGGCACAGACATCGAGACCTCACGTTTGAGGCAGTGAAGGCACAGCGTAGCCCAGAGCTGCCAGTTGTGCCTGAATTAGACCTGAGGCATGCAGGTGATGATGATGCGGTTATGCAGCTGCATTGCTGCGCTGCTCCGGAGTTGAACAGTAGACTAACTAGGTGGACAGGTCAGAGGAAGCCTTCCAGTCCACCTCTCACTCCTGTCACACTCTTGCAGGCCAACTTGCCCCTGCTGCAGCGTGAGCTCCTCCACTGCGCAAGGCTGGCCAAACAGAACCCTGCCCAGTACCTCGCCCAGCATGAACAGCTGCTTCTGGATGCCAGCACCACCTCCCCTGTTGACTCCTCAGAGCTGCTTCTCGATGTGAACGAAAACGGGAAGAGGCGAACTCCAGACAGGTGAGAGGGGCAAGGGCCCGGGATTAACCATGGCCTTTTCCTCCCCAGTGTGGTATAAGGACATGTTTTGTGTCTCATTTAAATAGGTGGCCTCCATCTCTTGCAGAATAGCTAATCATCCAGTGTGGCCATCTTGGCCATGTTGCCCTGAATCTCTGGCCTTTGTCAATGCAGTATTGCAGTGTTAAAGCTAAAGGGTGGAGACGAATGATTTTCAAATCTGCCAACTACCACTAATGGTTCTTAAACACGTCAGCATTAAAGTTCACATTTATTACACAGTTCAACCCAACCACATATTTTACCTTCCAGTATTATAAAATTTGCTGTTTCAAGTTTCTTTAAAACAGAATGACTTTGAAAGTTGACCCTTATGTGTTACCCAAGAACATAGTACAGTACCTGTTTGAATTGGGTTCAGTAAGCACTAAGAAAACCTTAGGGAAGCTAGATGAACTGGGTGAAGATAACAGTTACATAATAGAGTTAACAGATGACATTTTTGCTGAAATATTTTATTTGCTAGCCAATATTTATCCATCAGGCCCTCCACTCTCATAATTGAGAGTTTTATGATATACAAAAGAAAGACCCTTCTCCATTAACTCTACAAATTAGCTGTTGACTAAGGCATGTATGCATGTGAAACTTCCCATGTTACCACATTAAAATAATTTTCAAGACTCCTCCATCCTCATGTAACTATTTTCTCATGTAAGAATGTGAAGCCTTATCAGCATTTTGCATCATATGTGTGAAATAAGGAGACTCTGAAAATGAAGTTATATTCTAGGATTTGTCATATGCTCTCTTTCCTTTCTTATGTATCTGTGCTTTTTTTTCTGTATTTCACCAGGCATGGGTGCAACTGCCTTTGAGAGGTTAATGCTGGCACAGTTACATTCCAGATTCACAGGCGCTTAAGATCCTTGCAACTGCTCAGAGACTTCTGTGACCGACTTAGCTACCCTTAAATGTATTAGCTACTGTGCAAATCAGAATATTACTGAAAGCCAGCAGTTTACATAGAGTTATTGCATAATCCTCTGCTAAGCAATTTTTATGCTGCAACCTCTGGAATTTTCTCTCCATGTAGGACTTCTTAATATTTAAAATTGCTAAAGCAAAAGTTAAATATTGATTTACTTCTAACATATTGTAGAGCCACCTCCTTACATGATCCACTGATACACTCCTTTCTTATTGCAAGTTACATTTTCTTGGTCATGTTTAAGATTGAATAGAGGGCGGAGGATTTAGCTCAGTGGTTTCGCCACCTGCTGTGCAAGCACAAGGACCGGAGTTGGATCCCTGGTACCAAAAAAAAAAAAAAAGATTGAATAGAGTACTCAGTAGTTTGCTATCAAAGGGCACGGCTTGCTCCTCTTCCCTGCAGGGAGCTGAGAACCGAGAACTGGCTCAAGCATAGATGATTCACATGTATGTTCCTGTCCATCCCCTTAGGCTGCGGGAAACACCAGCCTGCAGTATTGAGATATTTCAGCATCATGTATCTCGGATAATAGGAGACAAGAATTAAGGAGAGGCTGGATGGTAAATTGGGAAGAAAAAAATTTATTTTGGGGGAGGATGTAACAGGAAAAGATTTAGATAGCTATGATAAATGTAAACATAGTCCTTCAGGCAAAATTGAAAAGATATATGACCTAATATGGAAAATGAAAATTTGTTTCATTTATTGCTCTAAGCAGTTATCCCTCTGGCTCTCTCATTTCTTTCTCTCTCTCTCATATATATATATAAAATTTATGCGGTGTTAAAGCTACAGGGTCAGGATGAATTGTTTTCATATGTATATATGTGTTTTTTGTTTTGGTAATGTAGATTTAACACAAGTCCTTCCCAGTAAACTGCTTCTCCAGCCTTTTTGGTTTGGGTCACTAAGTTGCTCAGACTAGGCTCAAACTGCCTCAGCTTCTCAGTCCTACTGTTTTTATGTACCTTAACTTTAGACCTTCCTGGGACAGTCCTAAGGTTAGCTCTGAGTAGTATGTCAACACTGACATGAAAAATTCATATTAGATTCCACGGATGCTCCACATTCTTACTCTGATCTGTAGCTGTGTGCGTACATAGGTAGAAAGCTTTAAAATTTGTCTTCATCTTATGGTATCTTTGGTTGTTCATGGACAGGTGCTGAAATCAGAATTCATACAATTAATCTTGGATGGAGCATCCTTTTTCAGGTGAAACTCTGACGTATTTGTTATAATGGAAAGATGGCAAATAGGTTCCCTTAGAGTTAGGAGGAAGGGTAATGAGAATGTGTTGTGTAAATACATTTGTGTCTTGTGGGAATTTGATCAGATCCAAAGCAATATGGGCCTCTACAGCATTTTTTCATGCATCTTGTTTACATATGCATCTTCTTCTTCCCTAATTATTTATCTGCATATCCAACTCTACTATATGAAATTTTATAGAGTATGGAGCTGTCTGACAGCAGAGCTTTTTTTGTTTTACTGAATGTTTTGTTGGTACATATGGTCTGACATGGATGAGCAGCCACGGTGAGATTTTGGAGTCTATTAAACTGGCTCATTAAAAAGATCAATCTGTTTCTGTAATAACACTGGGAGCCATCAGTCACTAAAAGAGGGAAAAACTGACACCTGAGGAGAAAACACATTTTGGTAATTTGTTCATGACATGTCACGAACAGAAGAGTGCTCTATATTTTGTTTACAACTTTGGGGGTTTAAATTCTGTGACAATTGCTGAGTTAATGTACTAAGCAGTCATCACATGTGTCAGGGATGGGCTTTGGCAGATTTAACTTTCTTCTCATCCTTACATATTATTGTTAATTTTTTTTCTTTTTAAAAATATTGTTGTTTACAGATGAATTCATACTCCAGGGAAATTGCTGAATTTTTTCCCCCATTATTTTTCCCTATATGGAACAGTGAAATATTTTCTAGTTTCTTTTAAAAACAGCTCAGGGTATCCCTAATTTGTAGATCTGTGGTAGAATACTGCAGAACCCAAGTTTGAAAAAGACAGTTTTTTCTTTAAAAATCATACTATTTTACCCAAAATATTAGGGAAAGAAAAATTCTGATTTGTATTCTTTGTAATTACTGTATAAGTTTGTTATTTGTCATAGATCTTTATTCTTTTGTCGTTCTGTGATGGAACATGCTGAAAAAGGGGGCTGGAGCTTTTCTTGGAGCTGTCAAATGAGAGGAAGCATCACATACAGGGACTGGGGGTTATCAGCACTGTAAACCTGCTCACTGTGATCCCTCGTAAAGACACGAACCCTTCCTGTGCAGCGAAGAGGCCAAGCATAGCCAGACAGTGCTCCACTTCATGGAAGCCGCAGAATGAAGGAAAACTACTACAGTTTTAGAAAAAAATGCCTGTCACCCCTGTCTTTCCTTTCTTACAGCCTCAGCATTGAAGCTTTTTGTTCAGATTTGCCTTTAAATTGTGTTCTCATCTGTTATGCTCCTTTTCTGACTCAGAGAGTCTTTCTTGCTAAGAAACCAAATGCAGTGACCTTTGTTTTTGTTTGGGTGCCATTGTTTTTGTTGTTTTTCTCTTTTCCCTTATTATCTCAAGTGAATGATGCTATAATCCCATTCTCATGTATCAGCATTTTAGTATGAGTGTGCTGCACATTAGCTCCATCTTAACCCTTCTGGAACTCTGATAAAGGGCATTTAGTTGGATTAATAATGTTTTATCTCCTCCCCTATAATTAGATATTTCCTGAAAAGATTTGCTTGAACTTTAGAATTACACAATTTGTTACCTGGGAGGGATCTTACAGCTATACCAGCCCAACCCCTCCACTTTATACTTGAAAAAAGCAAAGCTCAAAGAATGTGCTTGAACTCACAAAGCATCTTGGTTGAGAAACTAGCAAATCTACATACTGTAAATCTTCCAGATGCAAAAGATAAACGTTCTTATGTGCAGGATTGAAATTAGGAAAGCACAACTAAGAATTGAGTTTTTTCCTGACTTTCATTTATTCCTTTTCTATAATTACTCAAGTGGGTAAATGCCATGGCATAATATTCTGAGGTTTTATAAGTCATTTTAACGAAAGAAGAGACACAGGGAGCGAGGTTTCTTGGCTTAATGAGTGTTAGAAAATGCTGAAGTTTCGAGGGTCGAAAGGCAGTCATTTTGAAACAGTCTGGGTCGCATTTGTGAGATTGTCACCTTATTGCCCATCAGCTGGACTGAGGAGGTCCTCTTCTCCTTGTCTGTAAGAGGAACAAAGTTTCAGTACTTTCATCTTTCTAAAGAGGAACAGTAGGTACTCTTCACAAGAAATCATACAATTAATTGCACGAATAAGAATTCAGTTTGCACTTAGTACTCTATGAAAAAAATTGAAATTTTATATTAATCCTTTCTTGTTTTATGTTGTATCTTTTATGCGTTCCTTGGTTTTTAAAATGTGTTATCCCTATAATGATTATTTTTTATCTTAGTCACACCAGTTGTGAAGCCTGCTAGTGAGATGGCACTAGCTTGTGTTTCTATGATGAGAAAGCATGATTGTAGAGGACATTTTGATCTCTCGACATCTAGCCTTAGTCTTAACTTGTGGACTTACTTGCTTCTCTTCTTGGCCAAGACCTACAGAATACTCTTCATGCCTTGGTCTGTATTCCCACATGTTGTTTTTGCTCCCCTTCCCACTTCTTATCTGTATTGACTTCTTCATACTTCACAGCCTGACTCAGTATCTGCTGTTTGAATGAAGGCTTCCCAGTCCTCATTTTTCTAATAACAGTTGCCATCTCCTGAGCACTTAAGATGTGCCAGACCCTGTGGGAAGTAATTTGCACACTAACAGAGTGCTTATTTCAGTAGCTAACAGTGCTACTGTGTAAATTGAAGAAGGCTGGATGTTACTGGATATCAAGAGTCCTGTGGCTGTAGAGATGCTCAGGAGATTCTAACTCAGGTTCTCTGGCTCAAATTGCTTTGTTCCTAAAACCATGATTCTATACCACCAG